AACTAAACAAAAGGTACTATGTAGTACCTACTTATCGAAGCCGATTTTGAAAATATCAATATTTTACAAAGTGGTGCCTGTTTGAACTTAGACTTGTAGTTTCGGACTTAAACTTTCAACTTTTGTTTCTAAAAAAATAAACGATTCAAAAATTCACTTCGTCAAGTACTAAATTTTATTTAGATATTTAAGAGGAAATCGAAATTCCTATATTTACAAATTACTTCAGAAAATTTAATTTCCATAAAAATCCGCAGTCTAATTATAACTGTCACTAATCGTTGTATTGAAGATTGAGCATGTTCTACATTTTCACTCACAATCAGTAAAGATGAATGTAGGAATTTCATGATAAAAGGTAACACACTATCCTCTCGAAAATTTCTAAAAATTTCGACTATATCAAGCAAGAAGTTCAAAAATTTCAAATGTCCTAATTTAGCAACGTAGGCGGATAATACTAATTTTTTATTTAGACTCAAGAAGAACGTACGATAGAAACGAGAAGGCACGACTTTCAAACCAGGTCCCACAAATTACTATTCCTTCTTGAGGAGACGGAGAAAACGTTTCATACGGATATGAGTGTAGTCGAGCGGTATTAGACGTCACAGGCAAAGATGAGCCTGCCATGATTGAGCACCGTTTCCCAGGAATTTCTCACTTTGATCTACGAAACCACGAAAAGATTCCAGTCGGCGATATCAAGGCCGATCTGGTACGGAATAAGAGAGAGAGAGTCGTCTCGACGTACGATTTCGGAACGATAAGCTCGGGATATGAAAAAAGCAGGCTGGAACGATGTAACCGGGCCAGATCTAACGCAACGTGTATTTGCTTATGCGGCAGAAACGATCGGTGCGTTGCGACAAATCGAAGGAAATCAGGCTGTTACGTTCTACTCGTCGATACAGCAAAATTCGTTCTCGGTCGGAAATTCCGGGGAAGAAATTGTTTCGTCTCTTCGTTTGACTAAATTTATTTCTGTGTCTTGTAAGTCCCCGGTGTTATTGCTATTTTCAGCATTTTCTACACTATTCCACCATGGATCACTATTTGAAGGCTTTCTTCTGGTAAGTTTCATTCGATACATTGTAATATTTCCCACGCTTCAATATGTAGATCAAAGGAAAGTAGTACGCTTGTTAGTAGACAAATGATATGAATTTTACTGTAACCAGCGACAGAAATATCTTCGAAACGCATAATGAAAATTAAGAGAACTACCACACACGTGTCTCGCGTGAAGCAGTAGCGCAACACGAAACATCTGTTTCTTCTATTTCAATCAACGTGTTAACATTACAATAACAATATGAGACGGGTATTCTTCTTATTAGGTGTGTCGAAACTTTTGAGTAACACCATTAGGTACTTTAACAAATAATCCACTTTCGTCTGTTAGAAAGATGACGTTACATATGTACCCCAGACCTAGAGTGTATTAGGTTCACGTTTTAAAAGAATGACATTTTACATGTATCCTGTACCAAATATTTCACTCTTTTCGTTGGTAAAAATTATTTCGTTCTAAGACGTCTAGTTTTTAATATAGGTATATAATAATTTAAAAATGATATTATGTTCATATTTTTAAAACAATATAAAGTTCATCACATAGGGAGATTAATGCAATGTTCGCCATTTCCACATGTAGAGATTTTTTTTAAATCTACTCAATAGAACGAAGGTAGTGATTATTTATCGCTCAATTCTTACAGAACGGTTCCAAAGTTACAAGCTTTTCGCACCTTTGATTTGCTCTCTAAAGTGTGACTTAATCTCTGCCTCTGGGGTCGAAATATAGTTTAATTTTGAAATGCCTCGTCTGTCTACTCTTTACAAATTAATACATATGGCATACAGACTGATGATTAGGTTACGTAAATTTGTATACATAGGTATATTTTTTTTTTCAATTATAAAACTTGGCGGAAGCAACATGGAGCAGGCGTAGAGCAGCGTGTATAATGATTTCAACATAATACTCCCGAATAATTTCGTTTCCAAAGGTTAGCCTCGGGACTCATAGAGACTGCGAATTGAAGTGCAGACAAAAGACCGTTTGCGGATGGCTCTTTTAATATTTTCCAAGCACTTACGACGATCTTTGATGTGAAGGCAGGAGGGTCCGCCTAATTAGCCGGCGCGATGTATATTATACCCCCGTTTTCCATAATCGAATTCCTGGAGCAGAGTAACAGAAACGACACGACCACTGCACTTTTCACGACAGACTAAATTATCCGTTAACAAACCGCTCATGAACCGATCCGTTTGTTCCTATTAATAATAACTGAAGTGATTAATATTAACAAGCTTGAAAGAGTGATTTTACCGGTTTTTTGTGAAATTAATAAAAGTACGGAACCGGTTTCATTCGCGTTCGATTATGACATCAACGACGACAACGGGATTTAAAGGAGAGGTTTGATGTCACTTTAACATTGTTCGACCATCATAATATATCTAAAGGTAATTACTTTACAAAGTAATATTATGTACTACAAAGTAATATTATGTTGCTACAGTTCTTGGGTCTTTGTCGGCCCATCACGTTCTTATTTCTATAAGAACGTTTATTGTTATCGACGAAATGCAATAAAATTGTTATTAATATGTTTGTTTCTGTTCCCTTGATATTATACGAATAGGTGATTGTCTAGATTCATATAGTGTGTTGGTAACGAAAATTGTAACGTATAAGGTCTTTGGGTTTTTTTTTATACAATGTAAATGGAGCATCATCGAATGACAGGAATCAATCACAGCCAAGTCTTACAGAACAATGGGTGATGGTAAAGTTAAAAGAAAAAATATAATTAGCATGAAATGACCAGAATACTTATTTTAAAGACTAAAAAATTAATTATCATAGGATTGGATTGCAATTCTAGTATAATAGGCATTTTGTTTTCACTGTATAGATACAGTGTGTGACTTTCTAGAACAGTCTAGGTATTTATTTCCATGCGTTTCTTTCTATGTATTTCGTCAATAAAATCTTATTTCCCAAAGACTGGTGCTTAAAATCGAAACATTTACTGGCTTTGTAAAAATGTAATCGAAGTCACAGTGCGCTTGGAATGGGTTTACTCCAAGCGCTATTGCAATATTTTGTAGTGTACATAAATGACGATTTAGAATATATATGGAATACGAATGTGTACAAGGTACACGCAATTTATTAGTCATTCATTATCTGTTGACTATTTTATCAAATTGCTTTTGTCGTTAGCTAATTATAAGAAAACAAGTGGCAATATGACGGTTTATGAAACTTTAAATCAAATAATATAACGTTCAAACAATTTCTTTTTCACAAAATTTTCTAAAATTTGTTATACATTACACATGATTGGTAAGTACTTTAGAATATGAATATTATTAATGCCACGAATTTCTAAATCTCTAAACTTCCACCAAATTTTAATCATTTCAATTATAATTTAAATCGTGTTTAAACATACAGTGTTACCCCAATTAACGCGTTCCAGATGATGACACAGCAGATTCAGCACTGTTGCCAAAAACAGGCAAAAATGTAAGACTTGTATAAGCATGTCGAGGTATGTGTTTATGAAAAGCAAACTTTCGAAATAAAGATTTTATGGAAAAAGTGTCGTAATTTAAAAATAAACTAACGTTTTAACCCGTAATACTAAACAACCTTTTTAATGTAACGCGCGCTTCTAAAACTTTACGCGTTTTAACATTTTAAAAATATTTTTATGTGCCTACATTCTGTGCGCAATCCTTCATACTATTACCTAATAAATGAGTTTCTACAATTATTTCAGTGTTTTTCAAAAACCAAGTTCTTTAGGATTATTTCTGCAAATGTGCGCGTTCAGAATATTCCCTGTTGTGCCATATTTTGTGAAGGCGATTATTCTAGTTTATCATACACATACCTACGCTATTCTACAATATTATCATTACCAGTATTATCGTATTACAATGGGATAATCGGAAATAATCGATAGTACGTAGAATGCCATTTGCAATACCATTAAGACCGACAATATTTAAAATAAAATTCTAAATATTTTTCTAACTTTCTGCATGATTTTATTCAATCTTACTGTTTCATTCAGAAAATGAGTTCTCCCTTGGGGTATGCCCCTGATAAATACGCCAATACCCTAGGTCCCTATATCGTTACCACGGAATAGAACATAAACATAATATAATTGCGGGGCTCGTAACAAAAAACGACCCTTGTCAAATGTGTCAATTTTTGTGATAACATATTCCAGTAGCCAGAAACGAGACTCACAAAATGATGGAACCTACACTATAAAAAACGACCTATGTCCTGATTTATTCTGAAAAAAAAATTGATCGATTCTTAAGATTCTTAACTCTAGAACTACCAACCACAAACGCATATTTATTTCGATCGGTCGATAAACATGACAAACTTCTGAAAATTTGCAAATTTATAAATTAACTAATTTTTTCACTTTTATAACCTATTAAAGGTTGCCAAATATATGAGAAAACGTATTGTTATAACTACACCGCGGATGTTTACGCATTTACAGTAAATTTTGAACATGCCAAATGCAGTAAAATAAAGATTTTAGTGAAACCCAATGATATTTACATATTACAATCAACATACCAAGACATTTAGTACAGGAACTAAAATTCTACCTGATTTATATTTTTATAAACAAACGTATCTAAAATTCTGAATTTGCATAAACAGTCGCAGCCCAGTTATAACATTTAAATCATCATTATAAGAGTGTACTGACAAGTGATTTTGACTTGTTTGGTAGTTCTAGTGTCCAAGATGTCACAGTATTCATTTACTATATTGGAGAATAAAACAAACAAAAATTGACAAAAATTTTTTTTGCTAGGATCTCCTTACCACCTAATTAAAGATAACATTACACCAAGATTTAACTGGTAAATGTCACCGAACACGTTGAATTATAATAACAGAAAAAAAACTGAATGTGACCCCCAAGAAACTAAAATTTCCTTACCTTGTCAAGATATTGAAATCCATGCTCCCGCGCGACCTGCTGAGCGATCTCCGGTCCACCCTCGATGTGCATCGCCCACTGATTCGTGTATGCTGTCGCACGTCCACCCAGAGCCACCAGCGCGACGATCGCCAGTCCGAAAATCCTCTGCGGGCACATGATAGCTCTTCCTCTCGACTGCTACCGCTTAGCGGCTCCAGTTTCACACTCGGGGCACTGTTATCCACCACTATCCACGAAAACCGCCACTGCAACCAGCGTGGGACGCGACGACGATAACAAGGAACAACGGCAAACAAACAACGGCACACCCGAGAGCACACAGGCGACCAACGACGGGGTGATAACGCACGATCGGTAACGGAAGGTGAATCACGACGATACAACGCTCGGTGAACAAGGATAACCGGGCCGAGAAATGACGAAGAGAAACAAAACAAAAATGTACACAGAGCGTTGAGGTTTGCACCTGGTGACCGACTGCTGCCGACTGAACTGCCAACAGCGTATGTCACTGGTTTAAGTACCCTCCGCGATATGCAAGGAGCAACCGTTTACTGATGCTCCGCGGTGTTCTTCTTTCCTCGTCCACCGCCCGTGGTCGTCGTCGGTGTCGTCTGACGTCGTCGTCGTCGTCGTCGTCGTGGTCGTCGCCGTGGTTGTCGTCGTCGTGGTTCTTGTCGTATTCCCCTCGGTGACGTGTCGCGCGTTCAGCCACTGTCGCCGCCTTCACTCAACGACGAACAGCGGTGGGTGGGGCGATCGTCAAGTCATGTGGCCGTTGTTGGTGGGGAAATCAGCAGCGTTGGTGATCCTCGTGATACCAATAATCGCGGACGTGTACGTGTACGATGCACGTGCTGGGTGACCTGGGAGGGGGGGGGGCCTATGGATCAAGGGCGAACGAGGTTCGTGGAACCGGCCGCGTTCGAGACTTAGACCGTCGCCTTCATCCGTTCCGGGCTCCTCCGCAGAGTGTTGGCTGCTTAGCGTCGACCTCAAACGAGTCTCGACCTACCTGCCGTCACCGTTTAATAGACTCTGACGACTCTCTGACACCTCTTTGATGGAAAGCTTTTAATGACACGGCGGCTCCGCCGCGCGCAGATGTTTCCTATCCCTTTACTCCCGCGCGTTCTCGATCAGCCTCCTCGCGTTTCTCTTATCTTCGTCGAGGCTCGGGAGATCCCAACGTGGTGGAAAGTAATCAACGCTAATAATCAACGAGTGGAGAGGGTGCGGAGTTTGTCTGCAGAAGTGACGGAATGATCGAGTTCAGCCGTAAACGAACAGCATTTGACGACAAACTGTGCCGAAATGAATCGACGAGTCCAAACGACGGATGAGCTTGACGCTGAATCGCCGAACCGGAAACACGATTATCCGTGGGTCATCCGGAATCGTGAGAAGACTGTCCTGGCATGAGAATCGAGTGCTTGACTGGCCATTCAATTCACGTACAGACACGAACTTATCGAGCAACAGCCGATCGATTCACATCATCGAAGGCTGTACCGCATTCCCTTTTTCTCTCCCGCCGTAACTGCGCGTCTAGGAAAATTCGTCGATGACGCGTTCTCCGGGGTCCTTTTATTTTATCGTATTTCCCTTCGTACTATCCTCACGCTCCGATCTTTAGTTCATCCTCCGTCCTGGTATCCGAGTCGAGATCTGAAAACCATTCCAAGAATCGCAAGTCAGACGCTTCGATAGACGGCAGAGAGAACGATTAAACTAAGAGTTTGATTAATTATTGATTTATTACAGCAATGAACCGTTGTGACTGCAGTAATTGAATTAGCATGACAAGCAGATAGATTGTATGAAGTGAGATATGCAGTGTATCTCCTGGTTGATTGTTTTGGAGTAAATCATTTCTTATGTCCATAATGTACATTTCACACCCTCATCTTTGTGTATCGTTTACGATACGATGCAAGTTACATGTGTGCATACGCCTGTCTTTCAATCGCTCGCGGTATAAATACAAGCGATTACCGCCAGAGTACAGATGTTTATGCAGATGCAGATTTTTATGGATTAGTTAACAGAGATTAGAATTAAAGGAAACATTGTCTGCTCTTTCTAAGGCTTCTCTCGGATTCAAAGTGAAAGGAAGGTACCCTTAAATACTGTACAAAATGTAATTATGCCAAGCTTTAAATAATTATGGATGCTAAATATAAATGCATAAAGAAATGTTTAATTCCTGAGAGGTGATTTAATCTTATATTGACATACATGAATCACTTTTATCCTTAAAAATAATGGTTCCAAAACACAAACTCAATTTGCCATCAAGTATTGAGTTTCTAAAGTATACAGTAATGTCTCGATGAGTGCGACGTACGCGGGTCCACTTTGGAGCATTTCTGGTAAGGCGGAAAGGTTTTCAGCTCCTCATAAATTTGTTTTTTGTCCGAAGCCGAGCCTCTGCTTACCTTCTGTTTACTCTGTTTTGGCTAGTTCCACAGACGGACTCCCCCATTAGTGGGAGTAACGCCGTTGCTAATGTCGCATTCATCGAAGAATTACTGTAGTAATAAGATTTATCTCATTTTCAAATAATCACATAATTTAACTTTCTAATGACCTTATTTCTGCATACTTTTTATGTGAAGCTTTCTTCAAAATTTTGTGGCATCGAATAATTTATTTGCGATTTTCAACGATCCCTAAACCATGTGAACCGTAAACGGATAACACCGCTATATTTGTCAGCGGTATTTTGCGTGTGTTTCTTCGGATAGGAAAACGCAAAGCCGGATTTGTATAACACGGTCGGGAAAGGTTGTGCATTGGTTGCAGGTCCCATTGGTTTCGGAGTTTCATGTTACCAGTAGCTGCGTTCACGCAACTTGCATCATCTTCACGGTTGAAGAGTGCTCGAACGAGTCGGAATTCGAAATGAAAGAAACAGGATCGATACATGTTGGGATAGTTACACGGTATGCCAGGAAAATCGCATTCACCGAGTAACACGACCTGATTTCCTTCATACGAGAGATTTACTAAGGACATCTGTTTTTTTTTTCTTCTCTCGTTTATATGATACACCTGAAAAGTTATTTACTAATGTTTTATTCAGTTTTGTCTGATATACCAAAAAATGCGTATACTTTTCTTTCGGAAAAATAATATTCTACGAAACAATAAATTGGCTTTAAAAATCATATGTTTTAAAATACCTTGTTACGTATTTAAGAAATATTATTTTTCATTATTGCCCAGTGTGAATATTCTCAACCTTATTGTTGCTCTGGTATTATAAAACTACCGAAGATAAACGTGTTTCTATTTCTATCACCTTGGCAAAAAGGACAATTTGTTGAAAATACATAAATCGATAAATAAACGAAGTTCTTTAGTTATACATATGTTACAATAAAATTTGCGAAAAATCCCAGAAAATGCACTGTTGCGACATTTTAATAATTTCTATGAAATTTTACGAATCAGTCGTTTTGATTGCTTTAGTAGATAGTTCTAATATTAAAATATCACTACTGATAAATGAACTACTACGACTTAGTAGGATTCTTATTTTAGTGTGTTATATTTCATAAATAATCAAATAACGTGCGGAAAACATAGTCAAATATCGATTTCTCCAATAAAACAGTACGGAATCATCTGTCTCTCAACCGAAACAGTTACAATTCTTCTTCGCTACCATGTTCCCCGAGGAAATTGCACTTCTGACGCAAAGCTAATCTTAACTTCTCTATTTGGTAGAATACCCATTCTTCCGAACACACCGACGCCAAAGTTTTCTTCAAGAAGATACATATTTTTCCATAATAAAAACATTTCAATTCATTTTTACCAATCTCCCATCATCCTTAAATTAATCGACTAAGAGTTTCTTGTTGAAATGACAATAATCGAAACTACCTAGATTACAATCATACGTCAACAATTTATAATGTTTGAAGTGTAATCTACAAAGCTTGCATAACAGGAACAATCATCGAGGATTTACTGTATGTACTAGTAATAATTAGATGTTTCAAAGGAAAGCAGAGTTAGCGACCCAAGGTGATGTAAATAATCAATGGTTAATTTTTGGAAAAGGTTTATTCTATAATTGTAATACACAACCGTACACAGTGCAGAAAAGTAAAAGATTTCACTGTAAAGTTATGCCTCCTCCCTCACTTCCCAGACATTACCACAAGTGAGTATCATCTGTTGCGTCGGATCTAGAAATTTATATAATCAAGAAAAAAATCTTATTCGTCCTTTTTACTTCGAATTGACTCGCCACTTTCACATATAATCATTTACGGCGTCTCAAGAGAAGCATAAAGACCGTGAAACATTAAAATTGCAAAACGCGCTTAACCTTTTAACCACGAATGGATGGAGTCGGTTGCAATTTACTATTTATTCGCAACTAAATTCTTTTTTTTACACAGACGTGTACGATCCTGATAGAGTTTGGTATTCAAGGGAACGCTCGCCGGAACTCTACGGGATTCAAAGAACAGAATGGGAACGACTGTCGATTCTTATTATCGATGCATTTTAAAGGTCGCTGGGTTTCATGAAAAAGGATTCCATTTTCAAGCTGCGGTTTCCGTGGTTACAATTCGATAGAACGTTTACGCTACGATCAAGCGGAATTGCGTTCGCGATATTCGCTTGCTCAGACCGGTAAATCGTAAAGATTTTAAACCATAGAAACGTGATGTGGGAGTTGTAAATGATGTACAATTTTTTCTAAAACAAAAAGGTCTTCCCACAAATAACAGGGTTCAGTTTGATGTCAGTGAAATGTTTTTATTTCCCGTGGGATCATATAATTACGTGGAACAGAATCGTATTCTGAGGAATATCATTATTCTTGTCTTACTATAAATATAAAAAGATGCAGTCATTTTTTCAAAACGAAAGCCAAAAATGGTTAAGAGATGGAATATAAGTATAATAAACAGAAATTATATTTAGGTAGCTAGTAACTAAAAAATTTTTACCACTTAGAACTGATTTCAGATACGGTGTTACTTATGACATGGCCTAATATGTATGTCGTAATAGCGATAATAATAGATATTCGTATCAAAATTGAATTAATGACTCAAAATCAGTATATTCATTGGTCAATGTACGGAAAAGAATAAAAACACTAATTGTACATTATTTCATACCATAAATAAAGCAATTAATTATATTCGCGGATTCTTATTCCTTTCACTTTAGAAACAGTAGTAACTTTAAAAGTTCAAATAACTAGACTTTTTAAACAGAATATTAGTAAATCATGATGAAATTAAATTATTCTCCATGAAAAAAAAAAGAAAAACAACTCCTAGTGCATTTAATCTAAATGTTATTCATTATTATTTCTGACACGGGAGAGAAACGCGATGAAAAACTGAAAATTCACATTATTGTCACGTTCAAGAGACGTTCCAGGCGATTCAACTTCGTGGCAGAGGATATTAGCGGGTCTACAGACACATAACACCGCGAAGCTCTATTTTATATCCGAAACAAGTCACATTCGCCATTTCCTGACCACGTATGTTTTGCTGCTTTATTTGTTATATGTAAATGTAGCTTCATATTCACCGTAGAATCGAATACATATGCATTACATTGAACAATATCTACACGCGAAAAGATTATTGAAATACACATAATGTTACTGACATTTACTTTTCTGAACATTTATGAAATTACACGGAAATCTACTGCAAGTGTTACTGTTAAGTTTAAAATTAAAGTTCTAACTGAAATACTGTACCAAATCGCAGTGAAAAATATGACATATTAATAATAAAGTTTAAAAACATATCCCTAAAACTATCGATTAAAAGCAGTGTAGTTTAATAACAAAAATTTATTTTATAGGACACTAAAACGTCAAACTTTTTAAGAAATTAAGACTATTTTGTATTTCGTTTCTGATACTTTTCATGAATATTAATTACCTGAGATTTGTTGCATACTAAAAAATATATTAATCTGTAATTTCAAGGAAGGATATGTACACTTGTTATTACTTGATGAACAACATAACACGCTAATATTTTATCTGAAAGTACATAATTAGTTTGTTCGAAACATAACTAATATAATTGGCGCCAG